CTCGAAAGCGCCTATTTTTTCTCTTCTTTACCATAATAATCCTTATTAATTCTTTTAATCGATTCCTACTATTTAAAACCCAATCGTACAATTTATTATAATTAACCTATCAATTGGGAGACTCATTCGCTATAGCCGACTAGATTACTACTAAATAAATACTTTAGAACTATAATATAAATATTTAAATTTTGCGTACCGACTTTAACCTTCTAAATAAGAAGTTTACTCTTTTAGTTAAGACTATTAGTAAAGTTCCTACCCCTAAAGTAAAGTTGCCCAATACTAATAAGTTTACTAGAATTAACTTCACTTTTAAAATTTAATTACCTATAATTAAAATAAAATTTAGGTTTGATAGTAAAATTATTAGTAATACTAAGGCGTAATTCTTTTATATTTATTCTTAACTTGAGGGAAAGATTTAGGCTTTAGTTATACCGTAATTAATTTAATTTTTTAATAGCGGCGTTTTTAACCCTTAAATTTTTCTTAACTAATTAGTTTGTATTTATAATAATCCTAATAAAATCCAATAAACCGAAGCTACCTTATATATTTTTTAATAGGTTAACGATACTTTTAGTATTTTTATTACTAAATTTGAGCGTTTCCTTTATAAAATTCAAGTTAATTTATAGTCGGAATCCGCGAAAATTTTTCTTCTCCACTAAGCTTTTAATAAAGAAATATATAAATATACTCTATAGATTCGTCCTTAGTTAACTATTTATATAGATTATATTAATAAATTGAAGGAGATTCTCGGTTTTATTTACTTTTTTAGTAAATATAGCGGCTATAACTATAAAGATAAGGATGCTATAGATATTTATGCTATTTAAGGAGCGTTGAATTCTATTGAGTTTAATTATATAACCCCCCGTAAGGCTCTACCTCCTATTCTTAATACTACGGTACCGGCTATTAGAACTTTATCTTCTTCTTTATATACCTAATTTTATATTATTATAATTCTTAATAATAATAGCAATAACGATAATAATAATAATATTTTAATCTTAAATTACAATTCTCGCGCTTTTTATTCGTTAAATAACTTTGAATATAAGTTGGAATGTGTGTATTATAGCGATGGATTGGTTAGATAGGGTTGCGATTTAAATTAATTAGTCCTAAGGATATAGAATTAGGTTAAGGCTCTGCGAGTACCTTGATAGTTACGTGGATTGATGGATTTCTGGTGGTTATTTATTGATTCTAAGTTCAAATCTTTCTTCCGCCGGGTGGGTAATATTATAGTTAAATTAAATTAGTTATTAAAATTATTCCCGTAGTCTGTACTCCTATTTGAGCCTTCTGGTTAGGCGTATCCTTATCGTATCCACCCGTATTATTTAATTAAGTATATCTCTTCTAGGGACCTACTTCCTTCTTGTATTTAGTTGTGCCAGCTAGAGTAGTACTTTTCTTCTTCTCTTTTACTCCCTATAGTTAATTATTTATTATATTCGTTAGATTAGCAGTGCCAGCCACTTGCCCAGTCTACGTGCCGTGACAGAGTTTCCGCTGCCCAAGTTGGTTAGTCGAAAAAAAAATTAATCTTGGCAGTAAAAATCCCTGTCTCTTTCAAACTGTTGACAGGAAAAGTTTGAGCCGATCTGGGCTTAAGGAAAAAGCCACTTGCACTCTAGTAACTTGCGGAACAGGATGCCATTGGACCTGTATATCGGGCTACACCCTTGGAAGATGGGCAATTTGCTTCGAACACATGCTGTTGATCTCGTTTTAAGATCAAATTGTGCTTTTGGCGATAATAGTCCTATTTACTTCCTTAGTTCACGGGCCCGACAAGATACATACAGGCAAGCCGGCAAGCAAGGCGAGCCAGCGAGGCCAGACATGCCAGAACACCAACTGCGTAACTGACCCTTACCGACGTCGATCCCACAACCTGGTGGCGCGACGATTGAGGAGGGAAGTCTTTCAACAGAAGTCCAACCAGCTATCGTCCGCTCATCAGCACACATAGCCAACCATGACTGAGCTTGGGTGACCCGCAAGATGCTGGGCTGAAGATCAGGGACAGCTCCCTCACCGTCCTTCATAAAATGGTAATATTTCGAATTTCAAATGGTAAAACTGGCTGTAAAGTCTTCAGTACTGTTACACTAGAGGAGGGCTCCATTAGGCGCAGGAGAGGTGTGAGCGGGGTTCGGCCCGTTGATCTTGGAAGGTCCGTGAACATGAGAGACCCGACGTCTGCTAGCGAAATGGCCCCGGAGCAAGACGTAAAAAAAAAAAAAAAAAAAAAAAAAAAAAAAAAAAGTCGCAACTTGGTTGAGTTTCCTAATAGTGTCCCAACACTGCAATGCACCCTGTAAGCAAGGCGCAGTAAGTGTTGTGCAAGTAGCTCCATCGTGAAACGGCGCCACGTGCACCGTCATGCACAGTATCAAGTCTTGACAGTTTTTGAACTCGGTCCCAACTTTACCTTCAGGTTCTTTATAAGGCGAGCATACTGTGTACGTAGCTGGGGGGAGAGAGAGAGAGACGAAATCAGAAGTCTGAAGCTGGACGTCGGCTACGCAGTAGTGTATATACAGTAGGCCGGCAGTGAAGCAATCCCCGTACAGCTGTAGTTATTCCCACGCTCTCGAGCTGTATCTCAATCCACTCGTGATTTGGTGCGCAAGCTACGACCTGTTTGGTATCGATCAACATCCAGTGCAACATTCACTTGGATAGGGCAACTTGGCTCAAGCAACTGTGTGCAATTCTAAGCGGCCTGTGTGGAACCCGTCTGGCCAATAGCAGAGTCATTTCGGCCGCCTGAAGGATTTAGGGTTAGGCGTTAGTATTTAAGATAGGTAAGACAACAAGGTCAGTTCTAGAGAGTGTAGGGGGCTGGCAGGAGGCTCCCGCGTGACGATATATCCTCTTGCGTTCGAAAGTATATCTATCAAGACGTCTCGGGAATGTAGTTGGGTGATGGTATTCAGCAAACTCGACACCGACTAGAGTACGCGCGCGAGAAAGGTGCCAAGCTTTAGGGTCTTGGCTATCAGAGCCAGTGACTGTAGTGTACATACATGGCTCACAGGCCGTTTTTGGAGTAGTACACTACCCAGTCGTTTTATGTACATGAGGTCAAGAGGCAGCATGCAGGAAAACGGATCCGGGCTACCGTGAAAACCTCTACCTCCGGGTATACTGCAAAGCATCAGGAGTTCCTGTGCCGCGCCTACCCAAGTATATATGTGTATGGTTGGGCATGACAGTGTTGGTCTTGGTCCTTAAAGGGCGTAAATATTGACGATAGTTTGGTTCGAGACATTGTACTCTATATCCGTACAACCGAGAAAAGAAAAAGACAACATCCATATCTTGTTATGGAATTTACCTTTGCCCGTCCCTCAACAAACCCCAGTCTATCTGATCCAGGTCATCAAAGAGACTCGTAATTCCGCCGTTGCGGTTCCGTTTCATGCTGAGGCCTGGCCGATCGGCAACAGCTCGGGCGCCAACTGCGGACCGGAAATTGGGCACGGAATGCAGGTGTAGCTAGGGCCAGCTGGCTGCCGAGCACAGACAGTCCGCATCGAGAATTGATACTGGGATCCGGAGCATTTCGTCAGCCTCCGCGCCCTCCAGATTCTTATAACTGGCCATATCCGCAACTCCTATTTCTATCATTCACCCGCTACCTTGTCCTGGCCCTGGTGTTCTTTTTATCTTCCTTTTTTTGCTTCAAGGATACTCCTCTCCGGTTCCTATCCTAAGCTCTCTTTCACAAGTCATTCATTGTGCAACCTGAGAGTGTCAGGACGCGTCTCCCACGTTGTTGCGGCAGTCCGATGATGATGGAGAGATATGTAACCTGTTACGGATAAAGATGACTCGAATATTTCTCTTTAGACTACAGAGGCGATTGTCCTGGCCTGAATCTGTACGTCATAAAATTTACAATTCTCAAGCAGCCGAGGTACAGCAAGACAGCATTCAGCTGTCATGTCACTGACTGAGATATCTACCAAGACACATAGTTTATATACGTAAGTCTTAGATTGGTGTTCGGTCACCTAACTTCTTAATCTACCGTTGATAGCCCTATGCAATGTAATACTGGGTAGTCTGTTAGGTTAATTCTTCAGCCATAGCTTGAAACCTCTTTGAACCTCTTAAGATAAAAAAACTAGCCTTCATCTGAGACTATGATCAGAATAGTAAAGGTAGAAAGTACTTGGAAACATTTTACACTTTTCTGTATCTGTTTGTACGGCTTTTAAAGATATAGTGGTAGTCTCTATTGGTCATGGCATAGCTGGAAGAGCCTAGCGCACTGGCCACTCGGCAATGGGGGTGGCGGACACAGGGCACCAATTATGCAAGCTGAGTATCGAATCTTGAACTTGACATGGATGGTAAACAACTCCGTCCCGTCTCGTTCTCTTCCCTTCCATCACGCTGTTGGCCTGGACATTGGATCGAACTGATCCCTTGCCTACCAACAACCAAATTCCTCACTTCCCGCTTCTTTCGGCGCAGCCTCCCTGATAGACTGATGCAAGACCTTTCACTTTTGGGGGGAAAGTAAAGGCCCAAGTCTATCAGTTTGACATCAGCTCTCCGATCTATCCATTGCAAACGACATAGCTTCGCGGCAGCCACGAGAGGGCACCACCGATCATCTCGCACCTCGCGCTCGACCCTTCGACGTCCGCCAGGCACTCTCTTACCAAGCTCCCGCCGGATCCTCCACTGAGGCCGTTTACTAAGACCACTGGCAGATTGGTGCGGTTGCGTTGCACAGCTCCTGCCTGCATCTTCCATGTGTCCGTGTTAAGCTGCCCTGCCATTGCGTTGAGCTAGGCGCCAGTCAGTCCTCCCTCACCAGGGACCACTGACCATCATCCCCAGACCTGCAATCTCTTTGTAAAGTCCCACCTGCAATTGCTCGCCAAACAAACACTGCAGCGTCACTTCTCCGCGAAAGACGGCACTCCGCATCGTGTATGGCCATTTCCGATTCGAGGACCATGTCGTCGCCGTCGAAGAAACAGCATGAGATAGAGGTCGTGGCCGATAGGGTGCTCAAGAGGGTTGAAATCAGTAGGGTATGTCGTCGTCCAACTTCTTCCGCTCTTCCATCCTTGCTTTCCACCGCATGACAAGCTCCAAGCAGGCTAGTTGGTAACCGTTCTTTCCCGTCAGATGGTCAGAAGACTTCAGAACCGCCTTGCCCTAGCTCAGTTCAAGACAAAACATGGCCTCGAAGACCTTACCCTCGACAGTATCGAGCCCAGATTCGAAAAGGAGCTGCGTCGAAGCAGGCTCCTCGATGGTGATATCTTGTCCGACTCCTCCTCCAGCGCTTCCGATCTTCCATACCCTACGCGAGCCCTGATGAGCTCACCACTTAAGGCTCCCGTCTTCTCTGATGCCATCGGATCCAGCAACGGCAGCTCGGGTCATCGCAAGCGCTCGTATCTGGCATCCTTCGAGTACGACCCAAACATGTCGAGTCCGAGCAAGAGGTTCCGCCAGTCACCCACCGCTCACCGTTCTTTCACGTATGGCAGCCACTCATCGTGGAAAGACCACCACGACTTGACTCAGTCATCGCCCATGAAACCCCAGCGACAACGGCATTTTACTACCTCAACAGGCCCCAACGTGGCCTTGTTTGATACCTCGAGACAAATGACCAATGTTCTGGCCTCGCCTGGCTACGGTGCCAATCCCTCAGACGATGAAGACGATCCCCCCGTACACTCGTTTGCACGCTCTCACGTGCGGGTATCGCCGCCAAGGACGCCGCCGATGCGCACTCGCAATGTTCTCGGCGGAAGAAAGAAGGAAAACAAGCCACCCTTGCCCACCATTCGAAGGCCTCTGGGGACCAATACGTCGATGGGAGGCCAGCAAACCCAAGAAAAGACAAACGAGGAGGGTGCGGATTTACTTCTATATCTGGCAGCCTCGCCATCTCCTGCCCGTCCGACCAAGAGACGATTCGACAGTAACAATCATGTTACCCACAACCACCACTTCCTGATGGAGCCGCCATCAACCCCACCACCCAAGCACTTGGGCCTTCTGAGCAGCAACAGGTTGGCGTTGCCCTCGTCCATGATGACCACACCTGGGGGCGGAAATCCGTTCCCCAATACTCCTGGCCTTGGCTTCGACTTTTCTGATTTCGTTCACATGACGCCTAGTCCGGCGCAGAAGCCTTGGAAGACGCCGCTTAGCGTTTCACGGAGGCATCTCACGTTTGATGAACAGTCTTGATGTTTACGATTTTTTATTTTTTTTATTTGGTCTTCTCTTGGTTTGTTTTTTGCTAAGGTCCAATACCCCCCCCCCCCCCCCCCCTTTTTTTTTTTTTATTCAGGAAAAATACCATTACGTCACATGTTGGGTCATCTACCCTCGTAGTAGCATAGTCCGTCCTCCTTTGTCGGTTCGCTACGATACCTGTTGGGCGCGCCAGCGAGTGCTTCCCTTTCTCGACTTTTTTCTTCTTTTTTTTGGTATTTCTTACACTGTTATTATTGAGACCTGAAAAACTTGCAGGTCCTGGTCTGAGTTTTGCCTGGAGCTTCGGAGTTTTTGTATCGTTTTCATGGCCTAGACTCTTCATAGTCCTCTTCACCAGTCCTTTCTCACCTCCGTCAGTGGTCGTAAGGAACCCCAAAGGGCCGCAAAGCTGGAAGGCGACATCGATTGACATAGGCTGGATAAGGGCCGATGAAGAGGACAAAGGGGATTCGTAACCCTAGCGGATGCTTCATTATGACCGACCAAGAAAAAAAAAAGGTGCAAAATTGTATGGAGTTGTTTGTTTACACCATTGGTGTTGGGTACCTTTTTTTTACCATACCTGTTTTCTTGCTTTTCTTCTTCTGCTGGCTTGTTCGCCAGTGGTGTCGAATTTGGGTTTTCGGACTGAAAATCATGGTTGAAAGGGGCGACGAAATTATGAGGTACGAAAGCGCTGGGAAATTGAAAGTCAAAATACCGAGTCTTCTTCTTAGGGTGTGCGGTGTCGGAATAATCGCAAAGGGCACACAATTCCACCGCGGCGTCATTGAACGTGTGACGAACATATTGGGCACACGAAACAAGTAGGGGTACGGTTTTGTAGAGCTGAAATTAGAATACTGGCCCAGTTTAAACAAGAATTGTTGCTTCTCTCCCATCACGTCTGCTTCTATACACCAGCAGCTTTGACCTGCCTCGTTTGTGTTCCCTTTACGTCAGTACACCCCTCGTTTAATTGTACACGAAAAAAAAAGAAAAAAAAAAGAAAAAAAAAAAGAAAAAAAAAAAAAAAAAAAAGTCAGGGACAACGCGTGAAAGTTGATATTGAGGCGCGGCCATCATGCATCTATCCATGCAGATTTGGTGATTGATTGGCAGTCAAGTCGATAGGCCAAAACTAGGAGAAAAGAGAAAACCCTAATAGCGCCTGTGAGGTGAGTTGGTGGGTTATGTATAGCTGGTCCTCACGACAGTTGGACTATAAGGCCTTTGGGTCCGCATCTGCATCTTAAGACGAAGGCCGAGGGGTCTGTCAATCCAGCGCATGCCGCCTAGGTCACTATACAGTTCCGATGTCAATCAGACATCTCAAAGACGCTGGCCATTGCCCCCTGCACATGTACTAAGTATAAACATCCCCTATCAACTTAGCAGGTACAAATGAAAAGAGAAAGGATAGACGGCGAGAGGCAAAACAAGAGAGATGCCAGGATATTCACACAATCAACAAGAAAGACCGCCGTGAGACCTAACAAACAGCAGCCAACAGGATATACGTAAATTAAGTCAGAGGGGTGTCACTCAAAGAAGTCCTTGTCATGCATTGCTGTTACTATTCCATAACCATGACGCCGTGATGTCTCCCATAACCAAACTCCTCTTTGTCTACCAAGGCCTTTCCATGAACTTTCTGTAGGTGCTGACGTTTCTTCTCTTATCCTTTCCCTTCAACTAACATCAAACCCAGTGATTCGGTGATTGGAGTACGTTGTCATGACCACGATCAGATAGCAGCCCCCCTCATCATTAGGAGATCCCTTTTGCTGCTACCACCACTACTCTTCTGCTTCCCTTTTCCCTTCCCAATAATGTCATGGTCATGACCATGGCCATGATGACCGCCGCCCTTGCCATCACCTCCACCACCACTCGAAGAACCTAAGGGCCCGGCCCGCTTCGCCCTCCACTGATCGCGCATTTGACGGATTCGATCTTCGCGCTCCATCTGCTCCACACAATCGGCAAGGCGCTGGCGCACTTTGTCGTTTTCTGCAAACTTCTTGGCCTCGATTCGCATCCGGACAACGAATCGGACGGCCGTAAGTGCCATCTTGAGGAGTTTTCCAGGGCGCGGCCTTGGTTGCTGTTTCTTCGAACTCGCGGGGGTGTGAGGAGGCCGTGTTGCTGTTGGGTCTTTTTGATGGAAGAGAGTTGACCGAGGGCCTTGCGGGAAGAGGGGTTGTTGTTGGCTCCTAGTTCGGCGCGAATCCGGTTGATGATTGCTAGATCTGCCTTGTTGCTGTGTTAAGGGGTAGGAAGGGGGGTGGTGAGGTTAGTTTAATGTTTCATGCATCGAACAGGACAGGAGGGGAGGGGGGAAAAGTGACATACCAAGCATCGCGAATTTGAACCTCCAACGTCAGATACCTCTTGGCAAACGCTGCATCCTTTCTCAACCTTGCTTCGCGATCCCAGCATGCCTTCATCCACTCCATTTGCATAACCAGTCCCCTGATCTCCTTCTCGTGCCTCCTTTCCGCCGCCTCGGCCGCGCGGATGATGGCTTCCGTATCCGTGTCAAACGTCCCATCAGCAATTTTAGCCTTGGGGGTATATACCAGTGCCTTTGGGTCGTGACCCTTAGCCTTTGCGATCTCCTTAACAGCTTCGTTGACCACCACTTCAGCCTCCCTGACAGCCTTTTCCTTTTCGTATGTAAGTGTCTTGACGTCTCGATGTAGCTTCTCTGCGCTAGCCCTGTATGCAGCTCGCTCGCTTCTCGCCCGCTCGAGCTTTTTGCGCAAGGAAACCTCTATAGCCATCATCTCCTCTAGTGCCTCACGGTGCTCCCTCACCTCGCGATCAAGCTTATCAGCAGCGAGCTGTGACTCCTTCAGCATGTTGTGCAGGTCGCGACGCTCGCCGAGAGACATGGAGACATCGCTTAAGAGGCTATTGTCGAGATCAGCTGGGTGGTGTTTGCCGAGCTTGTTAGCCCGCCGCTTTTGGTCCTCGAGGGAAGCCGCCACGAGGCCATCGCGTTCGCTCTTGTACTTCTCGCTCCGCTGCTTGTACTTTTTGAGGGCCTGTTCATGTGCCCGTTGAGCCTCTTCAGCGGCAATTTGCGCCTCATCAAGAAGCTGCTCCAGTTCCATCTTCTCATCTTCGAGGTCTTCATATTGTCTTTGAAGTTCGTCCGCTGAGGTACTGACCTTGCGCTCGGCTTCGCGGAGAGCTGTCTTCAAGTCGTAAATAGACTGATGTGCTGTGGTCAATTGCTGCCGAAGTTCCGAGATCTCATTCTTTTGGGCGGAGTCGCCGCCATGGGAGGACAAAGGAGACACTGCAAGCTTGCTGATTGTCGCTTCATGGACTCTGCGCTCCAGATCAGCGATCTGTCGCTTGAGCAACTTGATAGTCTCCTTTTGGGCGGCCTCGCGTTGAAGAAGCTCAATCTCCTTCTTCCTTGCAGCAGTGAGGTCGCGTTGCAGGAGGGAGATTTCATGATTGCCTTCAGCTCCGCCAAGATTAGGGAACAGAGAAGAAGTGGCCTGCTGTGTCTCAAGCTCTGCAATGCGGCGCTCGAGTTCGCGAATAGTTCGACGAGCTGTCACCAGCTCTCCCGGCGCAGACGATGACGAATCGCGAACCTTGGCTTGGAGCTGAAGAATTTCCTGGTTGAGGCGCTCTTCTTCGGCAGACGCCTTCTCAATCTCTTCTTCGAGCGATTTCTGCATCGAGCGCTGTCGCTCAAGCAGGGACCGATTTTCTTCTCTTAACCTACGGATTTCATTATCCAACCTTGTCTTCGCAGAGCGCAAGTTAAGCTTCTCCTGGTCAAGTTGGAATGTGTCCTGGTCAGGACCTTGGTCCCTATGCTGTTGAAGCTCCGCCTCTAATTCGTCACGCTCTGCCGTGGCGTGGGATAGGTTTATCCTCAGTGAGCGCGCCTCGGCATCAAGATTGTTGTACCGCTCTTGTAGCATTTTCTGCTCTTTCATGATGCGGGCTAGATTCTCGTTGGCATCCGCCAGCTGAAGTCTTAGACTCGCTTGACTTTCATTGTACGTCGGAGCATTGGAATTCGAGGTATTCATCGAAGCTCTGGCAGCACTCGATGTGGCCTGGGCAGAGGCAAGTTTCCGTTTCAGATCCATGCATTCCTCTTGTAGTTTTTCGAGGTCCTGGCCAGCTCTCTCAGACTCCTCATCCACAGCAGCTTGCAGAACCTCTACTTCATCCTCCAACGCCGCAATCTTGTCCGTTTGCGCTTGATAATCCAGCTGGGTCTGGCGATGTTGGTCTTGCACTTGGCGCATTTCCTTTCGGAGGTCCTCGAGCATTGCTTGACGAGATTGAAGGTTCTGTTGCAGTTCTTGGATTTGCCGGCTCATCAGTGCCTCTTCTCTCTTGTGCCGCTCATTTTCCAGCTGAAGAGCGTGCTGCAGCCTTGCCTCCTTGTTGGACAGGTTCCCTTCCGTCTGCCGCAGCTGATCAAGTGACACTTGGAGGCCAGAAGCCCGCTCCTGGGCCCTGTTCAATTCCGCTTCGAGTTTTCGACGCTCAGCTTCCCACTTCTCACTGTCGTTATCGTACAGATTATCCTTTTCGCGGCACTCGGCCTGGAGATCCGAGATTTCGTTGTTCAGTCGCTTCATCTCCTCGGCGTACTGAGCCCGAAGATTCTGTTCGACACTGAGGGCATGGTTGTTTAGACGGTCCATCTCGTCTTTGTACTGTGCCCGGATGTTCTGTTCGATATTCAGCGCATTCTGCCGTTCGCGTTCCATATTAAGTTCGAGCGCTGAGACTGCAGTCTGCAATCCGGACATTTCGCGTCGCAAAGAGGCGGACTCATTTGCCATGGCATCGTGACGCTCCTGCAAAAGTTGCTTTTCGCTGGAAAGCTGATCGAGTTGCGCCTGCCCTCGTTCCAGCCTAGCTGCCATGGATGCGCGGGTTTGCTCGAGTGACTGCCGCTCCTGCTGCACTTGGCGAAGGGTCGACTTGAGGTTCTCAACCTGGGCGGATTGCGCATCGCGCTGTTGTGCTACCGTCACACATTCTTGCCGAGCAGTCTCCAGTTCGCTTTGTAGGCGGGCAACCTTTTCCTCAACCTGCCGCGAAAGGCCCTTGGTAATGACCGACTTGTTCGCCATCTCATTCTGCAGCTCTTGCAGGTCCGCCTCCGCCCTGTCCTTCTGTGAAATGGCCTCCTCCGCCTTGTCCTTCATGTCGTCCAACTGCTGCTCGAGACGCCTAACATCGTGCTGAAGATCCTCGATGGTTTCCTGGGCTTCCCGTAGCACGTCGCTAGAGGCTGCCTTGTCCTCCAATTCGGCGATTCGCACCTGAGCCTCTTTTAGTTGTTCTTCAAACTCAGCGGCCTTGTCCCTCAACTCCTCTGCCTCTTCCTCAATGTGCTCCTGTAGCTCCTCAAGTTTTTCGTTCTCGCCCTGGCCCTGCTCGAGCAGTTGCTGAAGGCGCCGTATCTCGGCTTCCTTCTCCTCCACCAACTGGCGCAAGCGGTCCAGTTCGGCACGCTGGTTCCCATCTGAAAATTTCTTGGCCGCCTTCTCTTGCATTTCCATCATCTGGGCTCGATACTTCTCGAGGTCCTTCTCCGCCGTGCTAAGGGTCTTTTTGTAACGCTGCAGTTCTCGCTGCATGGTAACCTTGTCAACCTTGAGCTCCGTATTCTCCTTGAGCGCAGCCTCGCTGAAGCCAGGTCCTGCCTTCCGAAGCGCCTCTTCTAGGAAGTGAATCTTGAGCTTCAACCCAAAGTTTTCCTTTTCAATCTTGTTGACCACGTTCTCTTGCTCACGCAGTGACAGTTGATTGCCGTCGTCGAGAGGACCCTTGGTGCCACCTCGCCGCCTTATGGTGATGGGTGTCGTCACTTCTGTACTGGAAACGGTCGCATCGTTGGGTAAAGGTGTATGGGAGCTGTAAACCGAGGTGTTGAGCTTGGGCAACGGCGTGATATCCTCGTCGATCCTCTCCAGAAAATTCGGTGTCGTCCGGCCGTTCTCCTTGCCGGGCAGGCGCCTTGCACTGTTTCTCGTGGCTGATTTGAGGAGGGGTGTGAATTCTGGACCGCCCACGTTGGTGTTGCCGTTGGCTTGGACATTGCGCCGGTTCGTGAAGGGAGCGCGGGTACCCCGTGGTGTCGACAGGCTCGGCCGGTTGCCATTCCGGAGTTGCTGGGCAATGTTTGCATCTTTGGAGGGCGAGTGGAAGGAGAGCTCTTGGGACAAGTCGAAGTCGGGTTGGCGGTCGAGAAAAGTCGCGTCACCGACGGCGGTGCGCGGCGTACCCAGGCCCTCGACGCCCGGCTGGACCATTATGGCGGCAGGCCCTAGGTAGCAATGTCGTGTTCTCTGCTGGGTATGTATTCCTCATAGATTGTCTGCTTGTCGTCGTTGTGGCGGTGGTCGTAGTGATGATGGTCGAGGTGCTGTGGTGGTTCTTCGTTATTTGGCTGCTGCTTGTCACAACTCAGCTATCAAAAGCAGCCGGACGCGCTCTCACTGGTGAAAGAAAGACAAGATGTAAGCAGGGTGTTGAAAGAAAGAAATAAAAAAGGAAGTAAAAAAATGACTTAAAAAATTAGAAGAACCGATGGGGGTTGAAAAAACCACAACTTGGGGACATGGTATGGCATGGCATTGGCGGGTGGTACTAGATTTACGAACATTTCACGTTCAGGTGCGGTACAGCGCTCCCTGCAGTGTAGTCTAGGTAGTGAAAGCGCGTTGCGACAGTGGGCCCTGCGTGGCCAGCGCAGCTCTTGTTTACTTGCACAATATTGACCAATGAGACAACGCACGGGTAGCGCAACCACGACTAAGTAGGTAGCAACTACTGTGGATAGGCGCTAAACTGTATGAGGAGTGGGACCTTCCCAAGCGATTGAGAGGGGCTAAATAAATATCTACCTTTACACGTAGTATAACTACATAGAGGTAGGTAAGCATATGTACCTTCGAATGGTCTCTTACAGTGGGCATTTTTTTACTTCCATGATATTGTACGTGTCAGACAACTCAACCTGTCTCGCTCGCTGCATGGCCATTGTTGCTCCTACGGTTTCCACTGGTGAAGCAAACCTGTACAAACGGGGAAAGAAGTACATACGGAGGTGGGAAGGCCCTCGAGACACAGTTAACCGGACTGATAATTCCGCGGCGGACAGTTCGAGACAAGACACCGAACGTTGCTGTAAACACGGTCCAACAGAAGGAAGAGACGAACTGCCTGTGAAGGGGCGCACACCTCCTCAACAGAACAAACACGCCCTCGAAGAAAACAAGGAGAGAATAACAAAAGAACAGAAACCAAGCCAACCCTCCCTCCCGGATTCCGGAAAAGAGAAAGGAATACTTGCTACGTATACACACAACCATCCTGACCATGTCCTCCCACCTGCCACCCTCCGCGCCCGTGATTTTTTCCCCCTCCGTTGCCCGCGCCGCCGCCTCCGCCGCCAAGGACTGGTCCTACGTCGACTCCTGGCTTCATGCCAAATATGCCCCGCTACATCTCAAAGTGCCATCCTTCGAGCGAAACCCCGAAACGCTGAAGGCACTCCTCGCCCTAGCCACCGCCAACGAAGCTGCCGACGATCCGCGCCAGCAGATCGCCGACCTGGAATCTGCCACTCAGGTGAAGCTGAACACCAGCAACGCCACATCTCTGGACCGAACCGCTGCCCAAGCCCAAGACGACATCACCCCCTCCTTTCCCTCTCCCTCAGCGTCACTAACGTACCAAGAAGCAAAACAATCCATCTTCTCCTTGCTCTCCGCCTCCCTTACACCTGCCGGCCAAGAATCCCTAACCTCCCTCTCTCACCTCTCCCAAACCCTCTCCCTCCCAATCCCCCAAGGCGACCCCATCCACCTCGCATCCTCTTTCCTCTCCCTATCAACCGAGCTCAACAATCTCGAACAGGCCCGACAGCGCCTGGATCTGCTCAGCTCGCACATCACCGGCGCCACAGCCTCCATCGAGAAGCTACTCGTTCGGCTCCGTAGGCACCCCGGCTGCAGCCCAGCTGCGGGATTGGCCAAGGAAAACCTGGAAGTGCAGCGACGCATCAGAATGTTGGCGGGACAGACATTACCGCAGTTGAAGGAGAAGGTGGCGAACTTGGCGGATGCTGTTGTTGGGGGTGATGGTGGTGGTAGTGGTGGTGAGGAGGAGGGAAGAGGCATGGTGACGGTTGAGCAAGTACGGAGGGAGCAGGAGGCTTATTTGGAGTTATTGAGGCGAAAGCACGAATTGGACGTGAAGGTCCGGGCGTTTCAAGGGTTGCCGCCTGATATAGAGCAAGCGAGACGGGCATTGGAGCTGCTGAGGGAGGGGTTGAGGTCATTGACGAGCAGGAGGGATGAGGCATTCGAGGGATTGGTCGAAGGGGGATTATCGCCGCAAAAAGAGACCGGCACTAAGGGAACGACGGGAAACTCGCGACAGCGACAGTAACCGCAGGAGAATGGCATGGTCTTTGGCTTTTTCGTTTAGTTTTATTGAGTATCGACAACGCTCTTCACCCTCCATAATGCAATATGCCCGTGAACCTGTCTCAAACATTCGTACTACCCCTTTCTTGTTCTTGCCTCTCAGACTGACCAGAGCCCATCTTCTCTTCTGTAATCACGTCAGGCTCACTTTCGTAATCTTTCCAATTCGTTGTTTCCATGTCCGCATCGTCGTCGGGGGGTACCATTACATTACACGCATGCATGGTGTCTGCTCTTGTCAGCTGTTATCAAATGCAATGAAATGGCCGAGCGCCAGAGACAAACTCGACGAAAGGACGCATGCATGCCGAAGCCACGAAGACCAAGAAGCGTGTGAAACCAACAGATCAGAACATCAAATTCAAAGGCATTCACTGCTGGGCTCGCTTGCCTCGACCTGCCACTGCCCCTCCGAGTCTCCCAAAAGGCCTTCCAAGCGTTCGGGTTTTTGCTGGAGGCGCCGCCGCGGGCAGATCCTTGGCCGGAACAGGAGGCGCTCGCCCTCCTGTCCCTTCCCTCCCAGTGCCCTTGGCATCCATTGCAGTCTCGCCTCCTCCTATCTTAAGATCACTCAACGCTGATGACGCGTCGTCTTCATCTCCTCGTTGAAGGCGCCTGGCACGTTCCTGGACTGATCGGAACTTCTCTAGCAATTCATTCCAGCGGATGATGCTGTCGTCTCGACCCTTAAGTCGATTGGGGCGGTCAAAGGTGGACGCACTTGGCGTAGTAGCAGTGCTGCGGGTCAACAACATGTGAGCATCGATTCCTGAAGTGCTTTTACGGTTTGGGGACGCTAAGGGTGGTGAAGAAGGGGAGCCGGCAAACGCCTCGGCGACTGAGCCATGTCGCGAATGAGACAAATGGGCGCCTCCTCCGCTAACACCATTCCCTGTGGCAGAGTTGACATACGGTCTAGGCGCAATGTGAAGATAGCCGATAGAGCTGACGCTGTTGAGGCGATTTTTTAGGGCCGCAAAGGCCGAGGATTGCGGTAAAAGCATCAGAAGCCCGTAGAGACACTTATACAAGTGTGGGTACTTTTCCGGCTCGAGTAGTTGCAAACGAAGATCTGGTCACTGTTAGCCAGCTGTCAATGCGTGTAAGGGTGGGATCTGGAAGGTAAGGTACAAGTGAAAACCGGCGACTCCAGTAGTTGAACCAGCTTGTCGATCTGGATGAGCATATTGACCGTCATCTCGAGCTCGGCACTGTCGAATAGTTAGCAGCGTATACTCGAGGAGCTAGGGGAATACACACAATATCTGTAAGAGATTATAAGCCTGTTCGTAGGCCTGTGCCAGCAGGCAGAGCGAGAAAGTTGCCACTGCATTGTAACACCATGATCGGAAAAGCGCTACAAAGAATGTTTGGCCATCCTACAAGTTGTGAGTACCTTGCCTTTAGAAAGAGCGCTCATAGTGCCATACCTTAGTTTCAAGGTTCCTGAGCCGCTTTCGCAACTCCGCTAATTCAGGCGCAGTGATGAGGTTGTTGTTAAGGTTTTGCACCATTATGCTCGCGAACTCGACGTCCTCCTCCTTTTCAATGCAATCAGCCAATGTTCTGTAGATCCGCTCGGCGCTGAGGCTTGTGCAAAGTTGACGGATTATTAGGTTGCCTCTCGTCTCTAGAAGCTTCCTGTCGGTCGAGAATAACTGCAGTAGGTTAACCATGAAGTTGGAGAAATAATCGTCTTCACTGTTTCTCGAAATTTGCGAGAGAAGCTGCAAGTCCTTGGTAACGACTGCTTCCGCAGGATCGGACAGGGTCTTGAGCAAGGCTGGGAAAGTCCCGTCGTTGAAAGCCAACACTTTTCTGGGTGCTTTTCGGTGCAGCATGATCAACCATGTCAAAGCAGCAACACGGGTAGCCTCGTGATCGTTCAGGAACAACAGTGTCAGCGAGTTTACGGCAGCAACGTAGTCGAGGTCAGCTTGAGGTATTGCCTGAGGTGTTGCCTGAGATGCGACTGCGGGGGTAGGGGCGCGTTCGTTTTGCCTTCCCTGAGCTGGTGTCGGACTGCGGAGGTCGAGGTCTCGTGAACTAGACAAAGACGCCCGATTGCTCGCGTTTCCGTTCAGCTGCTCACTAGGAGCCGGCGGGGCGGATACGAGATCTGCTTCGTCAGAAAGAGAAACCACATAGTCCATCAGCGAGTTATTGACTCTGGCGGCGGCTTGGCGAATAGACTCAACACCGCTAGCCATAGCCGGCAGTAAGTGCGCCAGTATCTTGGGCGTAAATGGCAATACTTCTTCCGGGCAGATATCGAGGAATTCGACGATCCAGCGTAGCGATTCTAGAAGTCCGTCCTCTTCTGGAACATCTATCAGATTCTTCTGGCGATTGGTCCGAGGGTGAGAGGTAGACATACCTAGGGGCGAATCGAGAGTGGCGGTTAGTATCTCCAGGATGGCCTTGTAGTTGATTTGCACGTCCTGTCCGGGGACCCAGTCATCTTCGCTGCTCACATCGTCGTCCTCCTCGTTTGCCGTTATGGAGTCGACCTCGTCCCCATCCTCAAGGGAGCGGCCACCGCCGCTACCGATGGAGTCCTTTCTGCTTTGCCTTGCTGCATCTTTAGACCTCTTGCTCTCGGTTATCCCCTTCTTGACTTGAGCGATGCGTTTGATTTCAGCCAGGAACTTGTCCAGGCAAGCCTGGGTAGCAACATGAACGTCTCGGTTGGAGTCACTGAGAAAACGCAAAAGTCCACCGAGGAATTCTGGCAGGTAGGTGACGAGCTCAAGGTCAGGGATTGAGTCGAGCAGAGTAATCCAGCCAACCAGGAAGGTTCTGCTAAAGGGGTTCAGGGCGAAGATGCGCTCCCGCAGCAGGGGGATGAATCGTTTCAAGGAAAATGCAGTGGGCAAGTCCAACTGTTCGTCATTGACGTTCTTATCGTCTCCGTCGAACTCCTGAGGCTGCTCCAGCACCGAAACATAGGTCGCGGCCGATTCGGAAACGATATCTTTGACTAGGCGATCTAAAAGCTCGGCACCATTTTTGACAGAGAGTTCAGAGTCGGCGCCCAACTAGGCGCCGTGGTAAACGTGTGAGTAACATGGCGCGGAAGAATAGACGAATGGAATGTTACTTACTTTGCAGAGGGCATCGAAAATATAATTGAAGTAGACCAGAATTTCACCCTTGGCCACCTTGGCTATGTTGTACATAGCCTCACAGGCATAATATCTTACCCGAGCATCCTGGTCCGTGAAGCAAGCTAGAACGGGGGGAACAATAACCTCGAGGTACTTGGGAAGCTCCTGCTTGGAAGAGTGAGTAAGGGAAAGGGGCAATTTGATATCAAGACGGGAAAAGACGTTAACATACTGGGCCGAGTGCTATTGCGGCGGCAGCCAGGCCTATCAAGCCACCGTTGCGTGCATGAGGCTGATGAACAGCATATGCGTAGTCATTGCAAAGCTGGTCGAGGATGGCTTCGATTTTGGCGTAGTCCTTGGCGGCAATCAGCTCACGAATGGTACGCTCCAGGCTGGAAGAGCGAGCTTGTGTAAGTCTAGGATCTCGACCGATGAAGGGCATCCACGAAAAGGTCAATGCCGTGAGAAGACTGGCCTGCGGATCCGGGAGCCAAGGCCATATCAATCCACAGGATTGGCAAAGTGGAGGAAAGCGGTGATGAAGAAGGGGAGGAAAAAAAGACATACTCGAGTGCCCCGATCTTGCGCTTGTCATATAGCTTGTCATTGAGAAAGCGCTGAATGTTCAGGTCCATGGCTCAGGTCTTGTCGGGCGTGCTCTTGTTGATCAATCTAACAGGCCTGGGGAATCAAGCACATGCTACTATGGCACCGCTCCAAGCCCGTTAGCGACCGAGACAGGACAGGAGAGGACGCTTACGTTGACTGTGTGCGTCGGTGGTTGACGGATAACAATGGTCAGGGAAGGCCGACGGGGTTTTAAGCAGCGTACCTCTATAGTAAGTGGCTATATGTCATAGATAGGCGCTGCCGTGCTAGTCCAACCTGTCACCAACTCGGTCCGACATACGATCTATGCTTTTGCCTTTGTCGTATGTATCGTGTACGCCCTCGACCGCCTAGCACGCGATGCTGGATAAGGTTGAATGGTGTTGCGGCGCCGGATGGAGCCTTGGAGCCTCTAGGTAGGTAATCTGGCAATATGATAATGTGAAAAACAAGACGCGAAGTGGTTATTCTGATGCAGATCCAATGCACGGTTATAAGGTGATGTGAATGCGGCGATCTGCAAACGCTTTCCCAAACTTTGGCCTCGATGGGACATGGGATGCGGGATGTGGATGATGGAGAGGGCGTCAGGCTGCTTGGTGGTGGTGACTGACGCGCAGCCTGAACAGCTTGTCCTGCCTACTATGGTGTAGCCAAGTTACCTAGTACCTGTACCTACCCGAGCTACCGAAGCGCCAGCCTTTCTTACCGTCCAAACTGTCTGCAAAGACTAGTACTAGCAGTACCGTAACCGCCTTCCAACGTGCTCGAAACGGGCCGTACACTGGAAGCTCTTGGTCGTGCTGTTTACCTTGAGCACGTGGGTAAATGTCAATTTGAGCTATGTATCAGAAGACTGCCTACCTAGGTAGCTTACTATCAGTTTGGTTCTTCTAACGGGGTAGAACTTACCTAGTCTCTCAAAACAGGCCTTCTCAAAGGAAGAGAAGATTATAAAAAGGAAGAGGGGCGGACAGCGCCAAGCTTTAATGTGGGTCTGTAGAAGTAGGCAGGCTGAGTGAATGAGACTACCAGAATCGAGTTTCTATTTGCCTCTTGCCCCGGCCGCAAGACTGCTTGATCACCATCCAACTGCTTCTATAACGTGACGGTCATGTTTTCCACTGGCCGTGTCTCTATTCTCGACGTCTCTACCTTATTCGGCTATTCCATTCTTTCTTGTTTACGTATATGCCGAAGAGACACATGTGTTTGTCTCTTGTTACACCTCCCGAATGTTTACTGCTTCGTGTCACCTTCATATTCTCTTACCTCGTCATTGTGCTGCTCCAAGCATCCCGTTCATCCATCATCCACACCTTCATTCAAGCTCCTGTTCCGTTAATCTGGACTTCTGGACTTGATCGTCAACAACCGTTGTACACAGTTCATATGACAGGTCAGTTGCTAACTACATGCTTCCGTCCGGTTGGTCGAAACTAATCACAAGGACACCCCCGGAAAGCTCCCAGAGTGTCGTTTATAGTTTGATTCACAGTCAGACCAGACGTAGTGATATCTCTGAATGGCCTGGCTCTAAGACGTACGTGCAAAACTGCCTGCTCAAGGAAAGTATAGGTATGCATAACCCGAATACCGATTTTTCTTACATTTTTCTTTTTTTGGCCAAAGAACAAAAAAAGAAAATATACTGAACACAGCGTGGCTCTGTCTTCAATCCAGAATTGTGGGCCATTGTAGCCCATGTAGCCCATCTACCTTATCTCGTCCCTCGCCTGTGACCATCCCCTCCTTTTATAAAATTTCCATGTGCACTACATTTCCCTCATTCGAAAGCGTCACAATCAGTGAGCATGAGAATGTCCGATGCTGCCATCAACAATAGTCTGCTGGCACTTCCTCAAGATAGCTGCCTGCCTAGCCACATCGGCTAGCCTCCCGATGACGTGTTTGTTGCCTTCCACAAATCCGTACAGCGCATAAGGGATTCCAACATCGTTACAGAAGTCTTGGACTAGCTTCTGCGTCTTGCGAAGGTTATGTCTAGGAATGCGCGGGTACAAGTGGTGAATGGCCTGGAACTGGAGGCCGCCGTGGAAAAAGTCAAGCCACTCGGGGCAGTCGACGTCCATGGTGGTGCGCAGCATGCGCTGCGGGAAGGACTCATGAGGGCCCAGATCAGAGGTGGACATGGCGAAGTGTGACAGAGTGATCTGCACGTGCAACGGGCTGGTGACCGCGTGGGAGATCATGAAAAAAACAAAGCGGTTCCAGTTACCATCGATTGCCTTGTACATGATCCCATAACCGAACCAGTACCAGAAGAAGACCTGACCGACAAGCTCGAGATGCCGGTGCCACCAGGCAGGACCGTGCTTGGGTGCCTGGCCCTTGAGCAAGTACTCCCACGAGAGACGGTAGAGGTTCAGGCGGGCGAACATCATGACGATGTAGTAGAGGTAGTGCTGGAGGGAGACGAAGAATTTGGCAAAGATGTCGTACTCCATGACACGGTCATAGTATGTGGACCGCAGATTAGTGAAGAAACGATGGGAAATGGCGAAGAAGGGGAGGTGTTCTATGTCCGGATCGTGCTCAGGGCTGTTGGTGATGATATGGTGAACGTTGTGGTTGCGCTTCCACCAACCTAGACTGAGACCACCGATGAAGTCGGCAATGATGATGCCGATGACAGTATCGACATGGAAATGGTGCGTGATGCCCATGTGCCCGGCGTCATGGGCAGTGAAGACTAGCTGGTGCCAGAAAGAGCCGAGACAGAACGCACTAGGAACGTACCAACCCCATTTTAGGAACAGAAGACACCCGCAGAAGAGGAGAGTATAGCGGAATCCTTCGATGGCGTAAGCAACATAGTTGCAGTCATAGAGTCCTTCGGCCTTGATGCGCTCGTTGAGTTCACGATACTTTCGGATGACGGTGTCTTGCGTTCCCTCATCGAGCGGAGGGTACTTGTCGAGATCGAGCCTGATCTCTTGCCTTGTTAGAGCGTCGAGATGGGCCATGCCATCCCTAGGGCCATCATCGGCGCCCTTGGCACTGGCCTTCTCATCCTCAATGGAGGAAATCGAGGTGAAGGAATCGGATCGGCTTACGGCCGACTTTGACCGGGCGTTAGAACGGGCGCGGAGTTGGTTCAATTCCGGCGCCGATTCTCCATCATCAAAGACCGGGGAAGGGGCGGGCGAAGGGGTCCGTGAGCTCTCGGATTCAGTAGAGGCAGCCTGACTCGCAAATGATGACGATCCGAAGCTAGTGTCCTCATCGTAGTTCGCAGCTCTGGCCCTTATTTCTGGGGACTCCTCCTCCCATTCTTCACCTTCTTCTCCTCTTGGCCTGAACTTGCCTCCTTGTATCGGCGGCAAGAAATTCTTCCATCTCCCTGGTATCCTACCCACTCTGTACCTGTTCATCTGAGCTCTTGCTTCTGGGGAATGTAACCTGTAGTGATTCCAAAAAAGTACACGCTATGAAGTCAGCATCTTCTTCTTCACCGGGGCCCGATAACTATACACCGGACTGGATCCAGACTGTCGCGGTTGGTGCATGATATTGTGTTTTGTACGCACCCGTTTACTTCATCGGTAGCATCCCTCCCAATCATGTGCTTGATGGCCTTGTCACCACCGGGGTGATACTTGACCCAAGCGTCAACCTTCAGGACATATTGATCGACAATGATGATATGGCGACCTTCAGAAATCAAGGCCTCGATCTCACGGCGGGAAATGAAGGGATACGTCCGCTCTGCTGTTTTAACTGTCGACTGCTGAGCCGTTGCGGTATCTTCGGCAGCGGCGCGTGATGGTGGTGGGGGTTTAGAAGCCATTGTTGTCTTTGCGCAAGACTGTTGTGTCTTGAACGAAAAAGATAGAGGGATTCGCTACTGGGTGGAACAAAACACCCGCCGTCTGTGGACAGGGAAAGGTTGTGGTGTTGTCCTCGCAACAGTTCAGGAAACCCAAGGTCAGTTTTGATAGAAATCCAAGGTGTTGATACTAGTAGGTGGGTGGTCGTTGAAGGTGGGACGGATAGGGCCACAGAGGTTGGTGAGTGGTTCGATACGTCGATTCTGATGCGGGCGCTGTTCCTGGGCAGTGGACATGACTACCCGAAACAACGGGCATGGGACGACGTGACATTGGATAAGATCATTCCTACTGGAGGGGTTGACCGAGTGGAAACCTCACCGCTGTCCACAAAGGCGCGTCTCCAACCCAGCTTGCCAGCTCCAGGCCATCCCGCTTGGCGTTTGCTGCACCACATAGGGGTCATACAATACCAGATGTCACGCAAGGGTTCTTGCCACTCCAACTTTTGCGTCTGAAATTAAACCACATTGCTGATCGCCAACGACGTCTTTGGACCCTGGGTGTTCAGGGTCACAACTGCCTGCATGTCATTGAAACATAGGGGAAGAACAGAACAAAGGGTCCAAAGGATATTCAGAGGGTTAGGGTCCCTGGTCGATGGCTTATCAAACAAATAACGTCATGCCAAGCAACATGCCCTGTACACAAGAATACACATCAACACCAGAACGCAGTTAAAGACCGGCAATGATGGATACTGCTACTCGGACTAAGAAGCAGTTGCACCGGCATGGAGAACAGACAAGAATCATCCAAAACCCACAGCCTTCTGATAACTCGGCAATGTTAACATAGAATAGCCAGCAGCCTTCCTGCCTTCCCATTTGGCTACCAAGGTAGCTTTTCTGTATCTTTTAAAATCTCGTGTATTCATCGAGTCTCGAGCCCAACCAGGACCCGCAAGGCCAAATAGCCCTTGTCCAACCAACAAGCGGCGTCTATTTGGCATGTCATGTGAAAACCCCCTATTAAACCCTTGAGGGAAAGCCCGTGACTACAGTACAAGTACACACCTCCTCCCATCCTCTTTCCATACTCCCAATGCTAGAAATCCAGACAGCACAATTTTCCGTGCTTAGAGCCATTCAACGCCAAAACGCTCCAGCTGCTTAGAAGTGGATGGCCTTTGAGTGAGTGGCCATGGCCGCCTCCTTGAAAGCCTCGGCGAGGGTAGGGTGAGCGTGGCAGGTGCGGGCAATGTCCTCGCTGGAAGCGCCATACTCGAGGGCAAGGGTACCCTCAGCAATCATCTCACCGGCGTTGGGACCGATGATGTGGACACCGAGAATCCGGTCGGTCTCGGGGTCGGCGATCATCTTAACCATGCCCTCAGTGTCAAGGTTGGTCTTGGCACGGGAGTTGGCGCTGAAGGGGAAGGTACCGACGCGGTAGGGAACACCAGCCTTCTTGAGTTCCTGCTCGGACTGGCCAACCCAGGCAACCTCGGGGAAGGTGTACATGACCGAAGGAATGCAGCCGTAGTTGACATGGCCGTAACCCTTCTTGATGTACTCGACGACAGCAACGGCCTCCTCCTCAGCCTTGTGAGCAAGCATGGGGCCGAAGGTGACATCACCAACGCAGCGAATGTGGGGGATCTTGGTGCGGTACTCGGAGTCGATGATGACACGGCCGCGCTCATCCTTCTCGAGTCCAATGTTCTCAAGGCCGAGACCCTCGGTGTAGGGACGGCGGCCAATAGCGACAAGAACAACGTCACCCTCGAGCTGTGTTCGAACAATGTCAGCTTTGAAAATCACGACAACGAACAGATAGCCTGCAGGGTATCATAAGCCACTCACAGTCTCGGGCTTGCCGCCCTTGGCGGAGTCGACCTCGAGCTTGACGGTCTCGCCAGTCTTGTCACCGGAAACGACCTTGGTGCCGGTCTTGAAGTTGATGCCCTGCTTCTTCAGGATCTTCTGGATGGACTTGGCAACCTCAAGGTCCATGCCGGGGCCGCCAATCTGGTCGAGAAACTCGATGACGGTGACCTGGGCGCCGAGACGGGACCACACAGAGGCCATTTCGAGACCAATGATGCCACCACCGATGACGAGCATCTTCTCCGGGACCTTCTCAAGAGCAATGGCGCCAGTGCTGCTGATGACGCGCTTCTCGTCGATTTCGAGGCCGGGGAAGGGGGTGACCTCGGAGCCAGTGGCGATAAGGATATTCTTGCCCTTAACGGAGGTCTCGCCGCCGTCGTTGAGCTTGACGTTGATGGTGTGCTCATCGGCGAAGGCGCCGGCACCCTTGATGTACTCGACGCCGTTCTTCTTCAGAAGGAACTCGACACCTTTGGTGAGACCGCTGACGGACTGTTCCTTGGCCTTCATAAGCTGGGCGAGGTTGAGCTTGACATCGCCGACCTCGATACCGCGGTGTTTCGAGTCGTGGAGGATCTGATGGTAGAGATGGGAGTTGTTGAGGAGCGACTTGGAGGGAATGCAGCCGACGTTCAGGCAGGTACCGCCGAGGGTGCCGCGCTTCTCGATACAGGCGACCTATTTCCAGGCAACATGGGAGATAGCAGTCAGATATTGTCGTCATTCGTCGGTGTTGCGGTGTAGTTGATTCGCGATGCGACGCACCTTGAGACCCTCCTGGCCGGCCTTGATGGCAGCAACATAGCCAGCGACACCACCTCCAATGATGACGAGATCCTTCTCCTCTACGGGCACATCAACAGTCAGCCGACCAGAATCCTTTGACGAGAACCAGCTCTTGATGTTGGCAAACAGACCAGACTCGGTCGCATAGGTCCTCCTCAACCTGGGAGAAACGACGACAGGGAGCCTGTATGTGGTCGTCAGGTCAGCCTCAGTACGCGCATGAGAAAACAGTGTGTCGGGCATCCGCCGGCAACCGGGACAGTGAGCTTACCCCGAGGGCTTGAAGGCGGACCGGACGGCAGCACGGCCTATTAATCTTTGGGACAGCATGGTCAAAGTATGTGCTGAATGAAAAACCAGAAATGGAAACAGGGAAAATTCGAAGGAACGAGCGCACTGCAGAGAGATGCCCGGGGAAGCAGGGAATGCGATGCGATGGTGAGACGTCGAAAGTGTGTACTGAACTGCAAAACGCCGCGGGAGAGACAATTGTTGGGATTCGAGGCGGAAGCTATTCACGGCAAGCGAAAAATGTCCAGTCCCACTTGTTCGGGTTGCCAGCCCGTCAGAGGCTCACATCGCTCAAAGGGCACCCGCTTTCCACCGTGCCCGTCCCCAAGTTGGCCCGCTCGAGACAGCGCAGAGCGGAGTAGGTAGGACGGAGCGGAGTACCTCTAGGAACACCACTACCTACCTATACTAGGTAGTAGGTACCTCTAACCTCGCGTACACTACACTAAATAGGTAGGTACTGCCTGATTGTGTTATTAGTGTGCTACAGTAAGTAACAGTACTATGATGCCAGTGTTAGGCGGGACGGGCAGCGCGCTCTTCGCTGTCTCACTGTCGCTGCTGCCGCCCTGACTGCTTCGTCGAAGAAACCCGTCCCCAAATACGTACGGTACTGGCCTTGATGCGTCCTGTGATTGGTCAAGACGAACTTGCGCGTGCAGCAGCTGACTCCAAAATTTTGACATCTTCTGCACTCCCGCTATGTAGCCATTTTTCTGACAGCTTGTGTTTGACATTCCTCTTGCTCCTTGGCGCGATCCCCTCTTTGCTCCCCTCTTTACTCCGCCCGTCAACGCCAAATAACCCCAGCTTGCCCAGCTGCCGAATTGGAGAAGCATAAGGGCGTGTTCGGCAATTCAGTAAATGCCAGTAAATAAGGGTTCCAGTAAATGGATTTACGTGCCAGTGCACAGACCGCTCGTAACCAGCCTAGTAAATCTAGCTGAGTCAGTAATAGACTGGCGGTAGCCCACTTTACGAAGGCATTTATAGAACCTATTCGAAATACTGGGAATTTGGAATCTATCGTATTTGAGTAGGTATATAACCCATAGTATTATTGTAACTAGTAATAACCTCAATTATCTCTATTATAATTACCTTCTATAATTACCCCTATTTTATCTTTTAAGGAACGAAACCTACTTGTTTTTATACTCAAATAAGTAATAGCTAAGTTCGCCTTGTGATAGAGGGAGAATCCTAGACTATAGGGTCTCAATTACTATTATAATCTAATTAATCCTAGCCTAATTAGTCCTAGTCCAATTAGCTCCCTTCTAATTAGTACGCCCTATTTTCTTATAATTAATTTACTACTAATCAATCCCCCCCTTCTAGCTAGTCTTCTAACTAATTACAGTCTAAATCTAGTAATAGTAAAAAGAACCGTATTATTACTAAAAATTAATTATAAGACTATAATTAGGAAGTTTATTTATTTACCCTCTTAAAGGAGGTAGTTAATATTAGGGTAACTAATTAGAATAGTTATAAGGATTAAATATATAATAATCTTATTAGGGATATAATCGAACAGTTCGGTAATAGGCCAAATAATAACTAGATCCGTAATAAAATAGATTAATTTTATTGTAAATAGTATATTTAATTAACTTTAAAGAATTATTCTTAATTAGGGTTTAAATTTAATTTCAATATTAGTACTACAATTATATTTAACAAAATATAGAATTTATTTATTAAAGTTAGTATATTATATTAATTAGTATGTACCGGGTAGGGATTTGAACTTTGGGTACTAATTATAATTAATAGAAGAATAAAGAGGTTAGCCAATTTAAGAATAAATCCCTCCTATATTGCAAGTTTATAGAAGAAGCGTTCGTAAATAATTAGGGTACTACTAGTTAGTACGCTAAAATATTAGGCGCGTTACTTCTTTTAAGGGAAATATAGTTAATTAATCTATATATTAACAACAATTAGGATAATAATAATAAGGATTTTTTTATATTTATCTACATTCGTAATAATAATAAGAGGAAGGTTACTACTTTTAATAAAGATCCTAAAAAGAAGAGGAGGAAGACGCCTAGCGAGACTATTGCTAATAAGTTATATATATTAACCGAAGTATTAAGGGAAATTTTATATAAATTTGCCCCTCCTCTCCCATTATATAACGAATAGTTTAATAAGGCGCTTAATTTCTTTTATAAAGAATAGGAGGATAAAGTTAATAATAATATTACTAAGTTAGCGTTTCGTAAATAGAAGGAATTTGATAAAAAGGCGCGCCGCTTTATAAAAATATTTAATAAAAAGAAGGAAGTATACTTTCGATTATTAAAGAGGAGGGTTAATAGCGATGTTGGAGGAGGAAGTTTCTATTTAAAAACTGGTATTTATTTTAATTTTATTAATTTTAAATTGTAGTAAGTTTGAAGATATATTTATTAGTAGAATATAGGCGGGAGGGAGCGGGAAGGAGGTTAGACCCTAGATTTTTATATTTCATTTTTTTAATACTTTGTTTCTATATTCAAATAAAACTACTTAAGAAAATCGTATATATATAAAAAATATACTATTTTAATCGCTAATTTAAGTCGAATCAATATAATATATTTATATTAATTTTGAAGTAGATTTATAGGAAATAAAATAGTTTTCAAACACCGATGCGATGTTGGATCCCTAGTTCAAGCAACGCCCGCTGTATTCGTTGAAGCGTGGGAATCTCCATCTCTTGTACCGTTCCTTATTCAGACGGCTATAGCCGTCCTTACCCAATTGCTCTATAATACTATATTGCTTTATTACTTTATTGCTTTATTACTTTATTACTTCGTTATATTGCTTCATTGGGATGGCTTCCATGACGGGATGTAGAGACGACGACGATAACCTTATTAATAGGCGATATAGTGACGGATTTTAGAAACGGAAGGACCCAGTGTATTCTAGCGCGGACTATCATTAATACTATCCACAAATTAACCAATAAGAACGTAGCGGGGCAAGACGCCCTAACCAATTGTAGGGCCGTACTACGTATTAAGCCAATAAGAGTATAGGAAACTATTATACGAAGACCTGACTATAGACGAACCGTCCTTCAATAGGCCGCTCCGGTGGATGTAGGTCCCTAACCCCCAGACTGTGAAAGTCATCCACCTCCTCTGCATAGTTGAAGCACGCTTTAATAATAGTCGTAAATAATTTTAAGATTTTTTAATTCGGTGGGGATACGGGAATTAAAATTACACTAAAGTTGATTAATATAATAAATATTACTAGAAATTTTGAATTTAAATACTAGAATCGAGTTTTTAAAAAAGATGGATTTTTTATATACTTTGGTACTCTAAGGGGTAATCCAGTGATTTGAATTTATAGTTCGATATATACGATTTTATTAGATTTAACCAATTCGAAGGGTAATTTGTATAGCTAGTACTAGATTACCCTATTTGCTTACAAATCCCTATATTGTAAATTAATTCCCCTCCTTTCCCTCTTCCTCCCTTTATTATTAAATTAACCTTCCTTAATTAAATTTAATATTCTATATTTTTCCCCTCCTTCTTAATTTATTATAGTAATTAATTTATATCCTTCTTGTTATAGCCCAGTCAGACGGGTCATACCGTGGCAGAACCACTGTACTGGAATACACGGTCGGATGCAATGGCTGGGATTAATTATAGATTAGATAAGGAAGAGTAGGCCGCAGTGGACCTGGTTCGGGGAGCATATCTCCCACCACCAACTATACGCACAACTCTTACCTTTTATTTTACTCTTTAATCGTAAATTCTATATTAAATATTAATAACGCTATAGCAATACCTTACCCGTTACATACTTTTATACTATTTATAACTCATCTCTCTACTAGGGATAATATTAAATATTCTACCTAATAAAAAGAAATTTAAAGAAGAAAAAACTACAATATAGTAACGTAATGATTAATAACTAAAATTAATAATAGGGTTTATTAACGATCAAACACTCAGTATATTAAAATCCCCCCGCCTTTTTACAAAAGGACCTCCGAAGAAGAATTAAACTAATTACCGACCAGGTTACTAATCACTATTACACTCATTATAATAGCTTGTAATAATACTGAAACCACGCAATTACACTATATCTACTTTAACCCCAATATACTAAGGAAGTATACGCCCAAGGACGGTAAATTACTTCCCTCCGAAATTTAGTATAAATCCTTTAATCCTAACGACTTTTATAAATCCAATTATTAGGGCGCCGCCTCTTATACTATCGATATTAATAATAATAATAATAAAGAAGTCAATTTATTGAATCTCTCCCCCGAAGAATTATATAAATATTATTTCGACTATATCTAACCTATTATTTATTACGCCTACTATTTTATTAATAAGGAAATTCCTACTCGTAATTTAAAAGAGTAACTTCTCGCCCTTCTTAATTATATACATTACAATAATACTACTTTTATACCCTTCTCCCCTATAATTTCCAAAGGAGAGGCTAACCCTAAAGCCAAATTTTTTAATAGTCCTATAATATATAAATAATTTACTGCTATAATCTAAACGGCCCCCGAAATTATATTTCTAAAAATATATATTCGTACTACCTTATTTATAGCCGCTATCGAATAAATTAATAATTTCGTTAAAATATTTAACTAAGTTAATAATAACTTCTACTCCCTAGAGAATTAGATTAATTATTTTAATTCTATCGCTATAAATTTATCCAGAAAAATTACTAATACCGATCCTAACCCACCCTCAGTTAGCGGAGCCTTCTATACGTTTAATATAAATTTCTAATCAACGCTCGCAGAGAATTAATACCTTAAAAAAGAAAATAAATATTTATTAGCTTCTCTAAAAATTGCCTTTAATACTACGGGTAAGATTATTTTAGGTAATAGAAATTCTAATAATTCTAATAAAGATTCTAATAAATCCGGTAGTTCCAAAAGATTAAAGAACGGTCCTCCCTCTAATAATAATTACAACGGCCACTCTCACTCCGGTACCCCCGCTATTACTATTATAACCTAATTT